CTCGTCGAGTAGGAGCAGGGTGGCCATGTAAGTTTAATGAACTACCCGACGAGTCCAAGAGTAGACTCGCCGAGTAGGCACTGTGGGTGGAAACCCTAAATCCCCGGGCCTGTGCCCTATTTAAGGACCTTATGGCCCTCATTTGCGGCCACCTTCACCCTTGAGAGCACCAGAGCCCCTGAGAGCGTTGTGAGAGAGAGAAGAAGCAGTTTTCTTCATTCTAAGTGTGTTTTTGCAAGAAAGAAGGAAGGAGGGCAAGCAAGGAAGATTGGGGAGCTCAGATCTACCACCATTTGATCAGAAGAGGCTGCTAGAGGTATTAATCTGTCCTCAATCTCGTGTATTTGGTTATCTACTTGAATCTAGGGTTTTCTTATGCCTTCATTAGCTTGGATTCGAAGTATGTGAGGTCCCAAGATGGAGTTCTTCTTGGATCTAGACCTTAAGAGGTACAGAGAGTCCTATCTATCTTGCTTTATTCTATTCCATTAGAGATATGAACCTAGGTTGCTATTTTAGAGGCTATTTCACCAAAAGAAGCTTTATGGACGTTGCATGAGTGTAAAGGTCGGACCTTTACGTGATTTTTGGGTATGGTAAGGTCAGATCTATAGGTTAGAGAAACAGATCTGACCTTAGAAGGTCATTTGAGTGTTGCCATGGAAGGAACTCGCCGAGTCCATTAGTGCACCGACGAGTCGAGTCGGGGTTGCCCCGCGATTCATGACCAGTGGTACCCGACCAGTGAAAGGTTAACTCGACGAGTCGAGTGAAGATCTATGAGGATTCGGAAGACGCCTCGACTCGCCGAGTCACACGTGCGCACTCGACGAGTCTGGTCAAAGTTTGACCGTTGACTTGAGTTGACTTCAGTTAACCTTAGGGTTTTGGTCAAACTGATTCTAAAGAGAGATCTGGGAGGGGTAGAATGGTCTTTTACCCACTCCTTAGAAATAAGGACAAGAGAAAGTATTGATTAAAGATGTTATTATGTTAATAGGAGGAGGCTAGGTCGGGTTATCGAGCACGAGAGGTTATCCGACATCGTACGAGGTGAGTCTTCTCACTATACTGTACCTAGAGTGGTACCTATGTGTGACCGGAAGGTCTTATATGCTATGAGATGTATGTGTTGTATGCTGTTATATGATATGGATGTGTTATGTATGTTATGAATGCTAAGGACCGGAAGGTCATTATGCTAAGGACCGGAAGGTCATTATGATATGGACCGGAAGGTCAAGATGATATCAACCGGAAGGTCATTACGGGTAGGACCGGAAGGTCTACCAGGGTTGTGGGACGGAAGTCCTCTGAGACACAGCGACCAGAAGGTCTTATAGCCTTGAGTGGTGTATGTGCGTATGTGGTATTTTGGGGAACTCACTAAGCATTTATGCTTACAGTTGTTGTGTTATGTGTTTCAGGTACTAGCGAGGATCGCGGGAAGGCGCCGGCATGATCTGTACACACTCATGGAGTTTATGTCTTGTGATTCCTGGGATATGTTTTGTTATGATAACATTGGATACATTATGTTTTGATATTACCTTATGAATAAAAGTATGTTTTAAAAATGAAAAAAATTGTTTTGGAAATTTACGGTGTTACAAGTTGGTATCAGAGCCTTGGTTTGAGGGATTCAGATGCACCTTCGGGCGTATCTGAACTCAAACTAAGGATTTCAGAAAGTTTTTCATAAAAAGGAACAATGTTTCTAAAAAGTAAAAGACTTTGAGAAAAGCAGAAAGGAGCAGTGTGTACGATCAGCCAACGCCCGAACGGTGATTTCCCAAAATACCCTTACATTATGTGATATGAGATATGTTATGATATGTTATGCATGCTAGAGTAGGCTAGGTATTCATATTAGGACTAGAGTGGCCTGATTTGTGATGCCTTAGCCTAGGAAGATTTCTGCTGATATGTGATGCTTGAGAGTGAGTAGGTAGCAGTGAGGAGCTTATGAGAGGTCTACCGAAGGGTAGCCTATGCCAGCGAGATGTAGAGTACTTGTGATCTGGGATCCTAGGAGGAGGACTTGGGGTGAATACTGATGCGGTGTGGACGGTAGTATAGGGCCCGTACTACTGAAGACACCGGATCAGTGCGCAGTCCAAGTAAGAATCCTTAGGGTACTAGGGAACAAGTAGGGTTGAGTTATCGAGTGCGGGTATGCTCGAGCGAGTCTCTGATATTTTTATGTTGTATTTCAGAGACATCATGGTTGGGACACGCCACAGACCTGAGACGAGCGGCGTGAGTGACGAGGAGCTTCGTCAGATGATCCATGATGAGGTGGCTGCGGCGATCCGAGCCGAGATTCCGGAGATGTTTGGGTCTATCAAGACCACCTTGATTGAGACATTTGATGAGCGGTACGCAGCGGTTACTGAGGCTGCGGCTGCTGCAGCTGTTGCTGCTGCTAGACCACAGGGGAGTGACTCGTTGCTGTTCCGGGAGTTCAGCAACACGAAGCCATCAGAGTTTGATGGGACGCAGGATCCGATTACTGCGATAAGATGGATTTCTGATATCGAGGGATGCTTCTACACCTGATCGTGTCCGGAGCATCTGAGTGTTCAGTTTGCACTGAACCAGCTTCGCTTGGGGGCGAAGGACTGGTGGAAGTTTGTGACGGCAGACTTCACTACGGCGGAGCTTACTGCGGTGACCTGGGAGAGGTTCACCACGATGTTTCGAAATGAGTATGTTCCCCCTGTGGAGAGGGAACGTTTAGCCCAGGAGTTCTTGTCCCTCAAGCAGGGAACTGAGTTTGTGACGGTGATTACGAGGATGTTTCATGAGAGGGCGATGTTTTGCCCTGAGCACATGTCGTCTGAGCAGGCACGTATGAGCCGGTACTTGAGCATTTTGAGGAGGGATATCAGGGAGTTCATGGCGAACTCATCATACCTGATATTTGTTGAGCTCCAGGCAAATGCCCGGAAGTGGGAGATTGAGTTGGAGACTCAGGCCCGGGAGGAGGCTGAGTCTCAAGGGAGGGACCGGCGGCCGGAACAGTCTCAGCCGGCAGCCAAGCGGGCAAAGCCCATCGATTCGAGATCTGGAGGCCAGAAGGGCCGCACTTGTGGGAAGTACGACAAGAGACATGATGGGGTTTGTCGATCAGGTTCTTGGTACAAATGTGGCAAGGAGGGACACATAGCCAAGGATTGCCCCAAGGGGTTCATGGTTTGCTTTCATTGTAACCAAACCGGACACCGGAAGGCCGAGTGTCCGCAGCTGCGGGGAACAGCACAGGGAGCACCGTAGGGATCTGCCCCTGCTGCCGTGCGAGCTACTGAGGTTCAACCAATGAAGGCCGAGGCACCGAAGGCTCGCGGGAGAGCCTTCCAGTTGACAGCGGAGGAGGTCCGCGCAGCGCCTGATGTTGTGGATGGTATGTATTCTCTCATTTATTTATGCTGAGTTTGAGATATTGTGCTTATATTATGATATGCGTAGGTACTTTTCTTGTGAGTTATGTACCTAATTTGGTGTTATTTGACTCGGTTGCGAGTCGATCATTTGTGTCTTTAGCGTTTAGTCAGCACATCAGTATCCAGTGTGAGGCGTTGAGTCGACCTCTACGAGTTTCCATAGCTGACGAGCGAGCGGTGTATGCTATGGATGTGATTCGAGGATGTGTACTCGAGTTTTTCGGTGTTGAGTTTCCGATAGATCTAGCCCCGATTGCGATGGGGGGCGTGTGTGTCATAGTGGGCATAGATTGGTTGAGCCGATTTGGGGCTGTTATAGACTGCGAACGACAGTTGGTGACGATATGAGACCCTAGTGGGGGAGTACTTATGGTGTACGGCGAGGGTACCATATCTGGGTCAACATTCTGTTCGGCAGCTAGAGCGAGGCAGAGTGTACAGCAGGGCTGCAGCGGGTTTGTAGCTTATGTGATGGATACACGAGTGGCCGCGGGAAGGCCGAGTTCGGTTGATGATGTTCTGATAGTGCGTGAGTTCCCGGATGTTTTCCCCGAGGAGTTGCCAGGTGTGCCTCCCGAGAGGCAAGTGGAGTTTCGCATCGATTTGGTTCCGGGAGCGGCGCCTATCTCCAAGGCGCCCTATCGCCTTGCGCCACCAGAGATGCAGGAGTTATCCTCACAGCTTCAGGAGCTGTTGGGGAAAGGATTTATCAGGCCGAGTAGCTCACCTTAGGGAGCGTCGATCCTTTTTGTCAAGAAAAAGGATGGTTCACACCGGATGTGCATTGATTACCGGGAGTTGAACAAGTTAACGGTCAAGAACCGTTACCCACTACCGAGGATTGATGATCTGTTCGATCAGTTGCAGGGAGCATCTTGGTTCTCCAAGATAGATTTGAGGTCTGGATATCACCAGATGAGGGTGCGAGATGAGGATATCCAGAAGACGGCGTTCAGGACTCGTTATAGGCATTACGAGTTCGTGGTGATGCCTTTTGGGCTCACCAACGCACCGGCAACGTTCATGGATCTCATGAACAGGGTATGCAGACCGATGTTGGATCGTTTGGTGATCGTATTCATCGACGATATACTGGTGTATTCCAGATCCAGAGAGCAGCATGAGGAGCATTTGAGAGAGATCCTCGGATTATTGAGGTCGGAGAGGCTTTACGCCGAATTCTCCAAGTGTGATTTCTGGTTACGAGAGGTCCAGTTCTTGGGGAATCTCTTTAACCAGAATGGGATATTGGTCGATCAGGCCAAGATTGAGGCTGTGATGAGTTGGGAGGTGTCGAGATCCCCCACCGAGATAAGGAGTTTTCTGGGGCTGGCCGGGTACTATCGGAGATTTATCAAGTATTTCTTCAAGATTGCCGTGCCTCTCACCAAGTTGACCCGGAAGGGCATTGCTTTTTCGTGGGGTCCGGAGCAACAGACCTCGTTTGAGACTCTTCGCCAGAGGTTGTGCGAAGCCCCGGTGTTATCCCTTCCAGAGGGAATGGAGGATTTTGTGGTGTACTGCGACGCATCGATATCGGGGTTGGGTGCGGTGCTTATGCGGAGAGGGCATGTGATAGCGTATGCATTGAGGCAGCTGAAGCCTCATGAGACGAGGTATCCCACCCACGATTTGGAGTTGGGGGCAGTGGTGTTTGCCTTCAAGATCTGGCATCACTATCTGTATGGGGTTCGGTGTACCATATACACGGACCACAAGAGTTTGAAGTATTTGATGGATCAGCCCAACCTGAATATGCGCCAGAGAAGATGGTTGGATGTGGTGAAGGATTACGATTGTGAGATCCTGTACCACCCGGGCAAAGCTAATGTTGTAGCTGATGCTCTAAGCCGTAGGGCAGAGAGTGCCCCGATTCGAGACACTTGTATGCGATTGACGGTGATGACTCCGGTGTTCTCGACACCATTCGGGAGGCCCAGGCAGAGGCCGTAATACTAGAGAATCGCAAGAGGGAGCGGGTGATCGGGCAGGTGTCTGAGTTCGTTAGCGATAGCCGAGGGCTGATGACCTTTCAAGGTCGGATTTGGGCGCCGTATGCAGGCGGGGCACGTACCATTCTAATGGAGGAGGCGCATAGATCGAGGTTCTCGAACCATCCCGGAGCCACTAAGATGTATTTGGATTTGAAGAAAGACTATTGGTGGCCCTGTATGAAGAGGGATGTTGCGTGGTTCGTTGAGAGGTGCTTGACCTGTCGCCGGGTTAAGGCCGAGCACCAGCGTCCGCATGGCAAGTTGCAGCCACTTGAGGTTCCCCAGTGGAAGTGGGAAAAAATTTCCATGGATTTTATCACCAAATTTCCAAGGACCGCGAGGGGTGTCGATGCAATTTGGGTGATTGTTAACCGGCTGACGAAGAGCGCTCACTTCCTTGCTATCAGTGAGAGCTCTTCTGCAGAGAGGTTGGCCGAGTTGTATGTGAGAGAGGTGGTATCACATCATGGAGTACCGATCTCGATTGTGTCAGATTGAGATGTACGTTTCACTTCCAGGTTCTGGAAGAAGTTCCATGAGGAGTTGGGTACGAGGTTGTATTTCAGTACTGCCTACCACCCACAGACTGACGGACAGAGTGAGCGGACGATTCAGACGCTCGAGGACATGCTTCGAGCATGTGTGTTAGACTTCGGAGGAAGTTGGGACACGTACTTTCCGTTGGCTGAGTTTTCCTATAACAACAGCCACCATTCGAGTATTGGTATGCCTCCCTTCGAGTTGTTGTATGGGAGGAGATGTCGGACTCCCATCTGCTGGGGAGAGGTAGGGTAGTGCATGATGGGTAGCACCGAGATAGTGCTTCAGACGACTGAGCAGATACAACAGGTCAGGCAGAGGTTGTTGACAGCTCAGAGTCGCCAGAAGAGTTATGCGGATAGGCGACGATCCGAGCTTGAGTTCTAGGTCATAGACTTCGTACTCCTGAAGGTGTCTCCATGGAAAGGAGTGATCCGATTCAGGAAGAGGGGCAAGCTGGGGCCCCGGTACATTGGTCCATTCAGGGTGATCGCAAGCGTGGGCAGGGTAGCGTACCGTTTGGAGCTACCTACGGAGTTGATCCAGATTCATGATACCTTCCACGTGTCTCAATTGAGGAAGTGTATAGCCGACGAGTCGGCGGTGGTGCCGCTGGAGGATATTCAGTTGGATGCGAGACTGAATTATTTTGAGAGACTGATCGTGATCCTGGATCGGAAGATCAAGGTCCTGCGAAGCAAAGAGGTGCCCCTGGTTCAAGTCCAGTGGCAACATCGGAGAGGGTCCGAGTTGACTTGGGAGCCGGAGGCGGAGATGCGGGAGCAGCATCCTGAGTTATTTGCGGAGCGAGATTTCGAGGGCGAAGTCTGATTCTAGTGGGGGAGAATTGTAACACCCGGATTTCCAGGTATATTATTTTTTTTAATTATTTATTTTGAGAATCTTTTATCTACTGGACGAGTTGGTGCGATAACTCGTCAAGTAGGAGCGGGGTGGCCACGTAAGTTTAATGAACTACTCGACGAGTCCAAGAGTAGACTCGCCGAGTAGGCACTGTGGGTGGAAACCCTAAATCCCCGGGCCTGTGCCCTATTTAAGGGACCTTATGGCCCTCATTTGCGGCCACCTTCACCCTTGAGAGCACCAGAGCCCCTGAGAGTGTCGTGAGAGAGAGAAGAAGCCGTTTTCTTCATTCTAAGTGTGTTTTTGCAAGAAAGAAGGAAGGAGGGCAAGAAAGGAAGATTGAGGAGCTCATATCTACCACCATTTGATCAGAAGAGGCTGCTAGAGGTATTAATCTATGCTCAATCTCGTGTATTTGGTGATCTACTTGAATCTAGGGTTTTCTTATGCCTTCTTTAGCTTGGATTTGAAGTACGTGAGGTCCCAAGGTGGAGTTCTTTTTAGATCTGGACCTTAAGAGGTCCAAAGATTCCTATCTATCTTGCTTTACGCTATTCCATTAGAGATATGAACCTGGGTTGCCATTTTAGAGGCTATTTCACCAAAAGAAGCTTTATGGACGTTGCATGAGTGTAAAGGTCGGACCTTTACGTGATTTTTGGGTATGGTAAGGTCAGATCTATAGGTTAGAGAAACAGATCTGACCTCAGAAGGTCATTTGAGTGTTGCCATGGAAGGAACTCGCCGAGTCCATTAGTAAACTCGACGAGTCGAGTCGGGGTTGCCCCGCGATTCATGACCAGTGGTACCCGACGAGTGAAAGGTTAACTCGACGAGTCGAGTGAAGATCTATGAGGATTCGGAAGACGCCTGGACTCGCCGAGTCACACGTGTGCACTCGACGAGTCTGGTCAAAGTTTGATCGTTGACTTGAGTTGACTTCATTTGAACTTAGGGTTTTGGTCAAACTGATTCTAGAGAAAGATCTGGGAGGGGTAGAATGGTCTTTTATCCACTCCTTAGAAATAAGGACAAGAGAAAGTATTGATTAAAGATGTTATTATGTTAATAGGAGGAGGCTAGGTCGGTTTATCGAGCACGAGAGGTTATCCGACATCGTACGAGGTGAGTCTTCTCACTATACTGTACCTAGAGTGGTACCTATGTGTGACGGGAAGGTCTTATATGCTATGAGATGTATGTGCTGTATGCTGTTATATGACATGGATGTGTTATGTATGTTATGAATGCTAAGGACCGGAAGCTCATTATGCTAAGGACCGGAAGGTCATTATGATATGGACCGGAAGGTCAAGATGATATGGACCGGAAGGTCATTACGGGTAGGACCGGAAGGTCTACCAGGGTTATGGGACGGATGATATGGATGTGCGTATGTGGTATTTTGGGGAACTCACTAAGCATTTATGCTTACAATTGTTGTGTTATGTGTTTCAGTTACTAGCGAGGATCGCGGGAAGGCGCCGGCATGATCCGTACACACTCATGGAGTTTATGTCTTGTGATTCCTGGGATATGTTTTGTTATGATAACGTTGGATACATTATGTTTTGATATTACCTTATGAATAAAAGTATGTTTTAAAAATGAAAAATATTGGTTTGGAAATTTACGGTGTTACAGTTTGAGGTTTCTTCACCACTTGACTCTTGAATTTCTTCAAGATCAATTTGCCTCCCACTGTTTCCTTGGCTTTTGAACTCTCTCTCTCTCTCGAAAGACTCCTTTCCTTGCTACAAAGACCACATTATCATTGGGTTTGTGTAAGAGGTAATCAAAGGATCTCTGTGGGTATCCGATGAAAATACATCTCTCACTTCGAGGTTCGAGCTTATCATGAGTTTCACGCCTCACGAAATCCTCGCAACCCCAAATCTTGATGTGGTCTTGATTGGGAACTTTTCCAGTCCACATCTCATGAGGTGTTTTAGCAACCTTTTTGGTAGGACTAGATTAAGAATATGGGCGGCAGTCTCTAAGGCATACCCCCAAAATGAGATTGGTAGCGAAGCTCGACTCATCATGGAACGAACCATATCCAACAAGGTTCAATTGCGCCTCTCAGCCACACCATTCAACTGTGGTGTCCTAGGAGGTGTCAATTGTGAGACAATCCCACATTACTTAAGATAGTCAAGGAACCCTGTACTAAGATACTCACCACCTCGATCGGATTGAAGCATCTTAATGTTCCTGCCCAACTGATTTTCCACTTCCTGTTTAAACTCTTTGAACTTTTCAAAGGTTATGACTTATGCTTGATTAAGAAGACATATCCATATCTACTAAAATCATCAGTAAATGTCACATAGAAGCGGTTAGCATCCCTTGTGGCGGTTCTGAAGGGTCCATACACATCAGTGTGTACAAGATCCAACAAACCTTCACCGCTAGCACAGGTACCAGTGAAGGGTTACTTTGTCATTTTCCCGAGCAAACAAGATTCATAACTGTCATCTGAATTTAGTTCAAATGACTCCAAGACTCCATCCTTTTGGAGTTGGCCTATGAGTTTCTTGCTTACATGTCCAAGACGACAATGCCATAATGATGCTTTATCCAAACTAGTGGAAGAATCGATACACAACACATTATTTCCTAGGTTATCTACAACCGACACAGTTTCATACACACCATCACATGGTAATGCTTTAAAATAAATAACATTATTAAAGAAAGCATTAATACCACCACTATCATTATCAAATGAAAAGGTAAAAGCTTGTTTGTATAAACCATGAAAGGAAATAATATTTCTTGCCATTTCAGGCGAATAACAACATTTATTCAAATCTAATGTTAACCCACTACTTAGCAATAAAGAATAAACTCCAATCTTGGTGATAGGTGTAACTTTCCTATTTCCTATGATCAAGTTTATCTTCCCATGCTCCATATTCTCACTTCTTTTTAGTCCCTACAAATCACAACATATGTGAATACCACAACCTGTATCAAGGACCCAAGAATTAGAATAGGGTGAGTTATTAGACAATATAGTGTAAATACCTGCATGGTTGGGTTTTACTTTCCCATCCTTAACATCTTGCTGCTACTGCGGGCAGTTTCGCTTCCAGTGCGACTTTCCATGGCAATAGAAGCATTCAGCCTCTTTCGGGTTAGCAGAAGGAGTGACGAAACCTTTCTTGGTTCCACTTGAAGAGGAGCCATCAAGAAACTTTCCCTTGGTACCCTTCGAAGGGCTCTTCCTCTTCTTTCCTTTGCCTTGCCCGATTGCCAAGACAGGGGCCGTGGTAGGAGTAGGAGTAGTAACAACCGACTTACCCTTAAGACCACTTTCTGCGGTCTTCAATAGTCCTTGAAATTTGCTGAGTGTAACTTCCTCCTTGTTCATGTGGTATGTCATGCGGAATTGATCATAACATGAAGGTAGGGAGTGCAAAATGATATCAATTGCCAACTCTTCTGGGAAGTTCACATTCAGTTTCAGCAAACAGTCCACATACCTTTGCATTTTTTGCATGTGGCCCGTGATGGGTTCACCATCCTTCATCCTGGTTATTAGCATGGAGGAGATGATTTCATACTGCTGTTGACGAGCACTCTGATGGTAGCGGTTCATCAAGTCCTGGTGCATCTCAAAAGGGTAGTAGTCCTCATAGGACTTTTGGAGCTCGGTTGTCATTATCGCCAACATGATACATGCCACTTTGGTAGCATCTCTCTCATGTGCTTGGTATTCAGCAATCTCCTCAGGAGTAGCAGATGACTCATCAAGTTCCTTAAGCTCCTTGTCGAGGAAATATTTCTTGTCCTCATAGCGAGTGACCATCCTGATGTTCCTGATCCAATCCATAAATTTGGATCCATCAAAGATGACTCTCCCATAAAAGTTCATGAGAGAGAAGGAGCGAGTAGGGTTTGAGCCAGAAGCAACATTTTTGGAAGACATCTGAAAAGAAGAAAGACAAGTTTAGATTATATATAAAGATAGTCCCAAATGTAATATGAAGGCTAGGACCCAACACAATGTTTTATAACTTAGAAGAGGGATAACGTAATCCAAGCTATAAAATATTTGAAGGTAGGTGACTGACGATTCACCAATTTCCACCATGAAAAACGAAATAAATTATTAGGTTTTAATTGGTTTTGAAACACCTAGATTCTTTGAGATTCATTGAACTTTTCAATGACATGTTTCAATCTCGAGTGTGCCTTTCAGGTTTTGTGACTGGGATGCCGAGGATCACAAAACAAGGTGTGAAGTAACCATGCAAATTACTTGGTACCCTTAATATTTACCCCTCAATCGATGTGTCGGTTAACCACACGCGCTCCATCGATACTATGATAAATATTAAGTTAGCCTTTACCTACCTTGTTAAGTCTAGGTTAGTGTGCCGGTTAACCAAACACGCTCCACTAACGACTTCATCAAAGTGCAAAGTGTAATTTCATGGGTTAGCACCTTATTCACATTTTCCTAAAGTAACTAAGATTGGGAATTTCTAAAACATTTAGTTACTTTATTTTTCATCATACTTTTAATGAATATTTAAAGTCCTTGTCCTACCCATTCGGCTAACGACCCTCCACCAGTCAAGGAAGCGGTGGGTGAGAGTGGACACCCATTAAGCTGCCATTTTATAGGCAACAACCTTATACCCCCTTATAGACCGTCTTCGTGAATGAGGCCTACTAACGGTAAAACGACTTGATCTTATACATATATATAAATATTATTAACTTATAATATTATAAAGTATAAGGGTTGAATTTTAACTTTTAAGATTCTAGGGGTTGGAACTAAAAGTTTTTAAAGTGACTTTACATGTTCCAAAACTTGAGGGCAAGTTTTGTAAGTTTCAAAACTTTTCATCTTTCATAACTTATGAGTTAATGGATTAATAAAATGAGAGACTTTTCATTTTATGTAACCTATGTGTTTAATAATGGACTTTAAAAGAGTGACTTTTGGTAAT